ATGAGCGTTGATTGTGATACAGTTGCTCGTTTCTCGAATCATATCACGGACATTTCATATAGCGTGCATGATTAAAGAGCACAAAACAATGGCATCATCGTCATCATCATCATGCATTATTGGGGGAGAATAAATAAGGTTGGCTCTAGAGTTGCCAATCTTGAAAACAGTCAAGTACTGTACAGTATTACGGAATGATCGCATTTTCACGCCAAAAAAAAAAAATAATAAAGAGAAAAAAGGAACCTGAGAGAGGTACTGTACATAAAAATGAAATAGCTGAGATAATCCGAGGGCGACTTATTGCCAGTGCATTCCGACTCCACCGCGTTCCTGAGAAGGACGCCGGGCAATTAACGCATTCCGAACAGGACGCCTATACTGTACTGTAGTAGTTGCGGATCGAGTCGGGCAGGAATAGACCCGAGCCAGCCGACGACGACGATGGCGAGAAATCCGAAATGAAAACTGGTGGTTCACCTCGACTGTACCGAATCATCGGCATATATAACACCGCAGTTGATGTGGGAAAAGTCGACCCATCATGCAGCTATAATTCGGTAATATACACAACATTACGGGTCAATTCTCGTCTGCTGTCTCTGCTCTCACTCTCTCCGGGGCTCCCTTTTATTTTTTTTTTTTATATATGATTATCCTGCTTTCTTTCATTCAGCTTCACTAAATACGTGATGACAGCACAATAACATTCGAAACTGAAGAAAATGAACCGTATAATTACGGTATACAGACGTTTATGTTAGAAACAACGAGCAATCGGCACACGACAGCCTATACTCCTATAGCATCATCAGTCGCCTGCTTCATCAAAAGGGGTTTCAACGAATGTGACAATTGACTAAATCATCGCATAACAGAATGCTTTTCATCATCATATATAACTCAAGAAAATCCGACCATATACGATTCAGTTCATGCATTCTGATATGCCAAAGGTTTCCAAATTTTCCTGCGAGGATTGCAACATGAACATAGGCACACGTATTATACATATCATCGAGGAATATGCAAACGTGATCGCATCATTGGTGCGATAATTTTGCCTTGTTCCCTCGAATCGACTACTGATTCGAACACTCGTAACTATTCCGGCAGGGGATTTCTTCTAAATTAGGAGAAGGAGGATTAAAAGAGAAAGCAACCCTGAATATCAAGACCATCATGGATTACTGCTGAAGGATACCAAAATCGAAGAAAAACGTATCATTACATTCTCATGATAAATGATTGAAAGTTTCTTGGGATCATGACACGGTCTACATTCAGTCAAGAATTCTTGAAACAAGATTGAGCAGAGCAGGAAAAATTCCTACAACTCGTCAGTGTAAACGGGAACATTTTTTCTTTGCTCCGGAACGAAGAAAATAAATACTAAACTGCTTCTTTCGGACGTTATTTTATTTTTTTTTATTCCCACGCTTCAAACGAGAGTCAAGAAATTCCAGGCCTCTGGATTCATGTTTTCAAGGTTCCAACTGTATTAGAATGATAGTTCACAATACAGTATAAGGAAATGTATACGCATCAAAAGTCGAGGACAATTTTTCATTTTTCTTTTCGCAGATACCGTATTAAAGAATCTTCAAATCGTGTTTTAAAAAAAAAAAAGAAAAAAAGTAGGAGTTAGACGAGAAATATTTAAAGAAAGTTCGTGTTGAATTCAATTGGTTTCTTTCCTGATGCTGGGTGATGGATGTCTTCCAGAATAAGGCTGGAATTCCAAGCCCTACATTTCCCCAATTATTCCATAGCTGACTCTGGTGATCATGTGAGAGACAGAGAGTCGAGGTCAGAGGGATTTAAATTTAGGAAACGGGCCTTGAATAATTACGACCGCGCGTTAATCAGGAAGTCACTGTCATGAGTGAGTCAGTCTTGAACCCACCGTATCCAATACAGTATATACTGTAGTTTGATATAATAAGGGTGTCATACGAGTGAGGGGGGGGGGATCGATGGAGAGAATTGGTGGGGATCTCAACAAGGAAATAACTGGGTGCCGATCTGGGGTTCGGGGATGCTCTTGATGATGATGAGGTCACCGTTCACGGGCGTCGAAGACCCATATCGTCATGAGCTCCGTTTTCGGACCTCGGGGGGACAGGAAATGAATGAGCTGCTCGGGCTTTTTTTATTTTTTTCCACGACGAATAATAACTAAGCTGGGGTCAGTGCGGCAATTAACCGAGAATTCGTTTCCCGTTCGCGGGACGCTCAACTCAGATTCCGGGTTTCCTGTCATCATCGGAGATCCCATCCAATAATCCCCCCGCGGTGCTGCTGCTGCTGTCGACGTCCTTCGTCTGTCTATCTCTATATCTCTCTCTCTTTCTCTCGCCCTGCTGCCTCGTCCTTAATTCATCTGTGTGTGTTGCAATGAGACGAGAAAAGGAAAAAAAGGGGGCTCTTTCTTTCTTAATCCTGGCCTACTGCATGGACTCAGATGAGGCACCATCATGCGTTTAATTAATAATATCCAGGAATTAAACCTTATACTGTCCTCGCATCACCTGCACATATTAGTACTACTCATGGCAACACGCGGTTGCTGTATTCCCTGCAAAAGCACCGACGAGGTTCGACTCGACCCTGAAACCTTCATTGTTTCGATCATTCCTCATCGTAATTATTCCTTCCTTTATTGAGAACAGTTGCCGTTTGTTTCGTTAATGCACGAGCGTGCGAGTACTGCGGCGGGATTTGCGGGAACTGATCACATTCCATCGACATTCCAATAATAAGTCGACTCGACTCTCTTTCTGCTCTAAGGGCAATTCAAGTTTCCCTGAGTTGAAAAAAAGGGGGTTATACACGAAAAAAATGTGTCGTTTCGTGTATAACGGCGGTACGTTTGTGTTCCTCGTATTCTTCTCATATATGCGTCTGCAAAATATTTCTCCATTTTAAATTCATGGCTTTTCTAGGCTTCAACCGCTTAGATTTAAGATCCAAGTATTTGAGCGTTCAGCTCACCGGGAAGGTTTATACTGTATTCTCTTTTTTTTCTTCATGCCTTCGAGAAGGAAGCCATACTGTTTTCTGATTTATCGCACGGTCAAAAAATACGGTTTCCTTTGCTTTATTCCTAAATACGGTCTCGTGTTTCTCTGAAAAGGGACGCCCGAAACTTGAGGGTTGAAATAATTCAACATTTAATGTTGTAAAGATTTGAGAAAGCTTCAAGCCATGCACCAGCACAAGAAATCCTTTCGGGAAACGAGTCATCCTAAATAATCCCGAATAAAGAAATGTATGATTCTAAATAACCCGTTTCGAGCAATCCATGCGTCTGATATAACTACTGTACAGTAAATACAGTATATAAATGTTTTAAATTTTCTCTTTAATCGGAAAATAAGCTTCCATCACTAAGAAATGTAAAATGTTTGCGGGACCGAATTTGTCAAGAAACACGCGAGGGTCAGTGGTACGAGAAGAACTGTATAGTGTTGAAGGGAAATCTTTCGCTGGTTTGGGCTGACATTCTTTTCATGACATTTGTGCGATGCGTTAAACTCAAGAATAGCCTGAAAAATAGTACAGTAAACACGGTACGAAGAACAGGGCGGATTGTGCGTCCGGGTTTCTGGGTTATAAGAAAACTCCTTGTGTACTCGTGGCAATTGTGTACAGTACAGTACTGTATACATAATCATGAAGGAAATGCCAACACCGCGTACAGCAGCACTATCATTCCCACCCCCTGTGATCAGAGTTACAGTATTTCAGAGGAATGTCGTCTGGGAAGAAGGGTACAGCTGTACAGTTACAGTACATTATAGAATACCAGTGAACTGCTGACTATTATAGTATAAACATTGCCTCAAATACAGCCGAATTGCAATTTCAAGGGATCAGCCAGAAACAAAATGAGGTAGAGAACCTTTTGCGAATTCCGAGCCTTAAATTGCTTCTCGAATAAGTTGAAAGGCGGACGCTGAACTTGGAGGCAGGGGTTCACTCGCCCAATTATAGTCTACCACATCCTTAAAAAAAAAAATAGCCATTATTTTTTTAACTGGTTTTATTTTTCCCTGTTTCATTGAAATAATTGCCAAAATGCCTCAGAAAATTTGAGTTGCAGAGGTTTGACAGAAAAAGGCCTACAAGATAGAGAAGGTTTTATCGCATTGTTTCTATAGAGGAATTCAGATGGAGACTTGAAGAAAAATCGGATTACAGGGAGGCACAAGTCATTGAGGTCCAACTAATTTACTGTATATGCAGTATTTTATATATATCTAAAAAAGAAGAAGGAAACGCATGAAACAGAAGGGTATACTCATGTACAGCAGTACTGTACTGCCCAGCCCATTATTGTCCCGTCCACAAATGGCGGACAAAGGCAGCTTAAGCCAGGCGACGATCGAAGACTACAGTACATATGCACTTGGTACTCTCTATATAGCTAGACCCGGGAATAACCCGCAGGGAACCATACAGCAGCGGCAGCAGCAGCAGCAGCTATAGGAGCAACCCGTGGTCGTGATGGTGACGCAGTTGTCGATCCCGCGTGGCCCGGCCCTCAAGGACGCCGGGTTATGCCTCGGATCCCCATTATACTATAAGCCCTCGCCAGCTATTTCCTATCCCTCCTCCGCGATCCACATCGTTTATAATTATCACGATTTTCCCTTTCGGACAGCGGGGAAGGGCATCGCCGTCAGCAGCACCCATGAGGGGCAGGCAAGGGTGACAATGAGTATATAAGGGAGGCCTCCCCCCTCCCCGCCGTGTTCCTGCTTAATTTGAATACTGGCCACGACGATGAGGAAAGGATTGTTCTTTCCTTGCCCCTCATCATCATCATACAGTACAGTATTGTACAAAACTCGTCTATACTCGTCTACAGCACCAGCCCAGCCTCCTTTTTTTTTTTTTTTTTTTTTGGACGATTCATGACTTACTGTGACTGGGTCCACACCTCGATGAGAAGCATCCACCATCAGTGGAAAACCCGTTGTAGGAAGGTTGGAAACATGATTCATCGGCCGATTTTCTTGTTAGCTCGCAGTAAAAACCACTCATTAGAATGCACACACACACATTACAGTACAGGAAATGAGATTCGTATATGTATACAGTATTACTCTGGCAATATACTTGTTATTTCATTTATCAGTTCTAAACGAGAACCCCGCGAGGTCGCCTTCCGAGAACTCATCATCCTACAATCTTTCGAAACTCGTTTGGAAGCTGCAGGGAAAGACACATGTTCCCCGGAATGTTGGACGAATAAAAATAAACATATACATGTACGGTACGGTATTCCAAATTAAGAATAACGAGATAATTTTTGAAATTTCGAACCGCATAGCACCGCATTATCGCTTTAGAAAAAAAAGCCGATTAAACCAGAAAAATCTGCCTAAAAAAAACACAGAAACACAACCTGCTTTATAAAATAGACGCTTGTTGAGAGAACTATTTTCTTTGATGAAACAAATCATTGCATCCTCTAATTTTGTAGTTGGAAAGAAACTTTAGGCATGCAGACACCTCAGCATGGGGATAATTCTATGTAGGGACTTTTTTCAATGAAAAAATCATAAAAAAGGTTTGACATATGGACACTGACTCAACAAGAGGACATTGCATGCTAATATTGCCAATAAATTTCCCAAAAATTGACTTTTATTTTGCTTGATTGCAAGAAACATATTTCCAACCAAGACATGTAAGCAAGAACAATGCTTTGGTACTTTTCCCATCACTTTCCCATCCATTCCGCTAATTTAAAAATACCTATAGCACAGATTTTATTGGTTTTAAGAAATTGTCTTACGCTTTTATTTTAGCCGCGTGAAAAAGTATGACAGTACTGCATTTGGTCACTATATAAAGCAAAGTTATATTAAATAGCAGTCTAGTTTGCTCAAAGACATATATTTTAATGTCAGACACCATACAGTAGTCGGACCCCTTCTTTTGTCAGTCTGAAGATTATGATGATTTTTTCCTCAGCATAATCTTTGACGAGGAAAAATGCTTCAATTCAACATATTTAACATGAATAAAACATTGCGGGTCAACAATTAATCACTAAACATGTAAGAATTTCTTTGATAAACTAACATAAAGAAGTTTAAATTTCAATCCCTGGCTTTTGCCTCATAATCTGTTTTTTTTTTTACTTTTTTTATATTTTGGATTCATGAACATTTAAACAAAAAAAAAGTTTAGTTAGCCAAGTTACAGCTTGATAGCCAGAGCAGCCTAGGCCAAATAACACCAAAATTTGTGAGGCAGCTGGGCATTTGTAAGCCGAGGAGAACCCATTGGCTGAAGAGTGTACAATATTGACAGCGAAATCGGCGAGTTCCCCGCATCAACTTGCTTCGGGTCCGAGCAGACGAGGACGGGGGTGGGGCTGATTTCCATCACTGGCGGCGGTGGACAAGGATGTTCCCCGACGACGAAGCAACGATCGATCGATCGATCGATCGAGTCATCGCCACGTTCGACGACGCGAAAGAACGGTGAGGATCGCGATCCTATTTTTAGACTCGTCGCACCTTATGACGGCTTTCTATACTGCCCATCATCAGGGCCTCTGCGTTACAACGCTGGCTCTTGCTGCTCGCCTGGCGAGGGCAGCGACATTGACGACGGCCTTGCCACCACCGACGACAGCACGATAATTAAACCGGGACCAACCAACCAACCAACCAAGCATTCGATAGCTTCCATGCACACCACGACCCCGATCTCCATTATTCCGTTCCATTCCATTCCTCGCCCGCTTTTCCCTATGCAGTATTTTGTAATTTTTAATCCTCCTCGTGCTCGCATTTCCCTTTCCCTCATTTTCTCCTATATCTGCTCGAGTTCGTCTTTCTTTTCGGGCATCTTCCACAGTATTATAGTCATTCTTTGTTGATTGGTCATTGTCGCGCGGCGCGAGAGAAGGAGACAGCAAGTGCATTTGACGACGGATCACCGGAATTTTTATATTGTACTCTTCTACACTGTACTGTACTGCCGATCGAAAGGAAACGACCCTATATCTCGGAATACCGTGGGTTTTCACGACATCATATACTGTACTATGTATGTACAGTATATGAGCGACGGGGCGAATCATCTCATCTCATCCACATCAACAATTATATTTTTTTTTCGTTTTTCAAAGAGGGTGTTTATAGCTCTTCCATCCACATCATACACTGCCATACATTCATAAATGGTTATCGCTCGAAGGCTCCTAATAATATGATGGGGTCTGAGATTCGTTCGTCAAATGCCCAATTGCTCCTGATGACCCCTGACCAATAAGACAACTGTTCGCAGCAAGAAAGGGAAGATAACGATACTGATTGGAAATCCTTCCTGTCATTTCCAGATTGAGGTGAGAACAATTGAAATCTTCATTTCTGGTGTGCAAGCATGTTCACGGGGATTTAAGTTTTGCAAAACCATGAAGAGCACAAATAGGACTTGAGCACCAACAGATGAATGGACAGTTTTGATGGATTTAAGGTTGAACAATAATTAATAAACCTTTGCTCATTCAGCACAGGTTTCAATAAAAAAAAAGGTCTGAAAGCAGTGGCATGAAAAAAATTGACACTGAATGCGGAGCGTTTAACAAAGAATGGACAAGCACAATTTCTTTAAAATCTTCATTGGCAAAATGCCGATTCAGTTTCAAAGGAATATGATCTTAATTGGCATTTTGAGTCACACAAAGACTTGAGGAAACTGAAATTGCCAAGCTTGCTGAAAAAATCATATGGCTGGCTAACTTTTTTAAATTCAAAACAGTCGAAATTTTTGAAAATTGTAGAGGAGTTAATTTACTTCCTCCATTGTGGCCCACAGAGCATAGGCTTGCTTTTTAATTAAGGGCCGGCCTTGACCACTTTTGAGTTGGGCACCACTGGTTTAAGACGACAACAGGTTATTACAATAGTCACTATATTCCAATAGATGACGTCATTTGAAACGTAATTAGACGATCACCAATGACATTTTCGGGGGAAATTTATGCATTCCGTAGACTCGCACGTGTTATTTCCAGAGAGTTTCCCACATTTCCATAGTCAGGCTATACACGCAATTAACGAAGTGTGTTCTCCCGTTTTCATGCCTCCCCGGTCTCTCTCGCGGGCCGATTAAACGGGCTCTTTTCCTGCTGGCTCAATATGCGTTATACAGTCATCAAGAACGAGTCAACTGAGTATCGAAATGGACAGCAGGGCTGAATACCCACTGATTAAATTACCGTAGTTGAATGTGCTGTACCTAATACAGTATATACGGTGAGACACCTTCATGGACGTGTCACGATCGCTAACCTGCTGATGTCCATCACAGAACAGAAGAACGAATCAAGCTGTCTTTATATCCTGAGAATAATCAATCGTCTTACGACTTTTCAAGCAGATATAGGATGAATGCCAAAGGCCGGAAAAGGAATGAAACACCACGATGAACTGCATGGGAATTAAGCCAATCGTTTCGTCGAGATTAAGAAACGCGGGGGAAGAAAAAGTGGATATATATAAAGACGGATTCGAGGATAATTTCCGCTAGACAATTTTTCCGACTGACGATTACTATTCGGAGCATTTGAAGGATTTTCCTCGCAAGTATTCCATCAAGCAGCGGTCGACAGGAAAGGTCAATATACATCACACTGCTGACGACTAATTCCCCGGACACGAACGACGATACAACTGCTTGCTCGCGATGACGACTCAAATCGAGTCTGACAATGCAGATGCAGAGGCGTTCCACGATTTATCATGAGGAAATTCAAAGCCTGCGCGGTGTAAATCAAGGGCGGCCTGCTTTATTAAACACCCTGTGTGTGTGTGTGTGTGTGTGTGTCAGGTGTCATTTTCCTTTCCGACTTCCTGCTATACAAACGCGGAATTCGCCTTGATTAGTGATTCACTAAAAATAGTCTCTCGAAACGGATATTTACTGTACGCCGAACTGGTTCAATTAATGGGGAAAGTGGGAATCGGCGAGCAAAATGCCGTACCACGATTCCAAATGCTTATACAGTAATCAGAATGCACCATTTCTAATCAAGAGGGTTAGAAATGTAACATATCCTCTGTGGTGTCTTTTCATTTCCGTTATAACCATCCTGAAAATATGGTCGGAATCAATGAAGCACTTTATATGGAGGGGTAAACATGAAACGAAACAACAACAAAAAAGACTAAGACATCACATATGTCTTGCCAAATACAGCAGTATATAGTACAATGCTCAAAATGAAGAGTTAATTTTCAAGAAAAAAATGTAAGCTTATCACGAACAGGTAATTCGTACATTTTTTTTACAGGTTTGGTACGGTTTTGGGGGAATGATGAATATTGTCGGAAGCATTTAATTGTCAGATTTTCCAAAATTGATCCGAAAAAAACCGGAATGCAGTCAACCCGCGCTTGATTTTTCATTGAAAAAACCAAAGGTTGTCCCAGTTGGACGCGACCTGTGAAATTTTTGGAGTAGATGTGATTGAAAAAGAAGCATGACATGATGATCTAAGGTCTTGTGATTTTTTTCGGATTTTTAAAAATGTTTTCCAATTTTCTGCATGATAATATCTGAAACCTTTTCAGTTACAGCCAGGAGTCTCCGCCTGTGTTACAGGGGATACAATTTATCAAGCTAGATGATAATTGAAATTTTCTGTTTTAAATAATGTTTCTGGAATGCACATATAACTATGGGTGGAAAAAAAGTTTCCAACTGGCATGACAAAGTTTTCACTTGACCTCATGGAGTAAATTGAAAACTTCCTTTAGAGACAGAAAACTAATCCCAGATAGAACCTTGGAACATCACGATGGCACGGTTGGTTGAAAAACAAATAATTATTCACTATTCCGGAAGTTAGTGTCTGAGGTACAGTACGTAGAGGCGACCCTGTTGATTTATGGCAAAAGAAGAACCCAGTCCTCGTAATTCATGGTTCCAGGTTTTTTCATGGGTTTCTCCCGTTCGCGATCGTCGTTTTTAAAACTGCGAGAGATATAAAAGCCTTCGATTCTTTCCGCAACCGGCTGTATGCTTCAATGAATTAATCGCTCATCGGTTCGAAAATGGTCCTCAAACACTGATGAGGAGGGTATGTAAAATACATCGCGGACGTCCGTTCCTATTTACAGTACAGTAAAATATATTTTTTTTTTTACGGGATTTCGTTCAGAAAATCAGAACCGAGAATGTCCACTGTAATACTAAGCAGAGCATTACATTTTGTGTCTCTCATCGTTCATCTCTATACAGTATACGAAGTATACGACTCATTAACTGATGACGCAGATGTATAAAGTGAATGATACATTTGACTGTCCCTCATCGCGAATCTTCATCCACCTCTATCCTCCCCCGTATACAGTACTGCATCATGCCCGACAGACGTATATACGTACGGGTTCATCAACAGATGACCATACAGAAGACAAGTGCAGGTAAAATATAACCATTTGTCTTTTCGACTGCATATACACCACAGCAGTACAGTACAGTAAATGTTTGGTGCGCATGTCTGCTGATCTGGTCGTATATAGTACAGTACAGTACTGTACATGCATTACACACGCCGTGCAGTGTACTGTACTGCACTGTACATCGTCACACACACACACACACGCAGTGCAGTGTATTATACGGGATTGCACATGATGACGTACTTGTCGAAGCGAGCTGCTGGCAGTGCTGCAGGAGCTGTTGGAGGCGCTGGAGTTGGATGAGATCTTCTCTTCGAGCGAGAACCGGACTCTGGCCGGGGGATGGTTCACGTAGAGGCGAGAGTCGCCGCCGGCCAATGGCGGCGGCGGCGTGGACGCCCTCTTCTTGAAGCCGAACCGCTTGGCCTGAGCCGCCGCCGACTGCGACGCCGCCGTCGGCACGTCCAACGAGAACTGGCGCGACAGGGCGTAGCGGCGGTACAGCGAGATCCGCCGCGGGTTCGGGGCTCCCAACACCGGCGCAGCAATAACCCGCTTGTTGGTGTGTTGTTGTTGTTGCTGTTGCTGTTGCTCTCCAGGTCGCTCATCTTGTTGACCAGCAGTGACGACGAAAAAGCAACGGCCAGCTCACTACTGTCTCTTACTGCTGATGATGTTTCGTCTCTCTCCTCTTCTTCCTCCTCCTGCTGGTGCTTCGATGAGTCTGGCACTTGCTCGTCGAGGATCTTATTATTCCGGATCTCGTCGGCGAGTCGCTCGTTGACGAGCTCGAGGAACTTCAGTAGGACAGCCGAGGGATCATGGCGACTGTCTGCCTCGCTTCCCAGTCCCACGGCTCCGTTCAGGGCAATGTTGGCTCGCCTTTTTTTTTTCAATTCGTCTATATATTGTTCCCTTTGCCTTCGTCCGCGTATGGGTACAGTAGACGTATATATAGGTACCACCGCCGCCGAGGAGATTTCGATCAATCGAAATGAGCGAAACGCGCTAGGTATTCCGCGACGTCGTGAGGAAATCTCGAGGAAGCGGGAATCAGGGGCTTTCTCGACTATTCTCCTCCTGCGTGCTCGACACTTGATACGAGATCACTGTCGCCCGCGGATCTATCGCTGTCGAAAATATCCCAAGGCATGCAATCATATCGTCACGACGATATCGCGGAAAGGTAATGGAACACGTCAGCGGTATAAGGATGATATAAGAAGGAC